ATAGGTCGATTGTACCAAACAATCAAAAACCGTACCGCCCAGACAGAAGCTGAACAACGGCAGAAATACTGGCACGCGACTGGCAGAGGCCTAGATGATCAATGAGTTTGTTTTGTACATATTATTTAATCCCCCTAATTTATTTCAATAAACGAACTGCTGTGGCCTTTTCCTCTCGTCTTTGTTACGTGGGATATTGCGTGCCAGTGCCAGTGCCAGTGTGGTCCAGTGCTTACGCCTCGTCCGTGATTTCGTAGTTCGTGATTCGTATCTCGTGATCAGTGCATACTACAATTACTACGATTACTACACATCATTCAGAATAATAGGCTTGATGGCTTTGGTCCCACACAGTAGTTTGATGCCTTACCAAATTCGCTTACTATTGTTACCCTGCAGAAGCTGGGAGATGTACGACACAGAGAGGAGTTTGACTTCTGCTTTAACCAGGTTGGTATAATACTTGACAGCCGTTGAGTCTCTAGATTTGTATGATCGTTCCTTCTGTCTTCTGAATGATATCAACAGTAGAGATGCTATTCTGCAGTTAGAGATAGATAGAGTTTCAAAAGAGCAGCACAGGCTAAACGTGTGGTTGTGTTTCAGTGAATAAGTTGCTCGCATTATGTAAGGGAGGACAGGAAGAAAACCACAAAGAAGCGCTTAAGAAGAAGAGTGTTTCTTGAGTAGCGATTGTGAATTGTGGATACTGTTGTCTATCAGGGGTAAGAAAGACGGTATAAATGCATCAGAAAAGGATGAAATGTGAGACTGGATACAAAAGGAAGCTATGTATAAATTGACAATGATTGTGCTTGTGTATGGCGAAGATCTAGGGGAAAACTGAGTGACTGTGCAGTCAATGCCGTCGTCGGAATAATCAAAAAAAACCTTCAGACTTGCCACTCCAAGATGTAGGTGATTATTCCATCTCCTCTTTTGTATTCATAGTGCTTTCTGTCCTTAAGGAATAATTTGAAACAATTGGTTCCAATTTATTTTGGTCAAGCTAGGATTCTTGAAACACAAACGACACACGTGTTGGGGTGCTTGGATGAATCGAGGGTGCATATTAGATCCGTCATCTATGTGAAAAACGATCTGATACTCGCGCTGATCCTTGAGAGCACAACTACTTTCAATGAGAACGATCGACTAAGCGCTGCTTGCCAGCCGCCTCGCGTGTGTTTTCTCTTTGGGCTAAGAATCCAAAAACGACCCACCGATGACGTAAGAGGTATAGAAATGAGCTCATCATCTTTGTAATTGGTTAACTGTAATCACGAATAAACCTTTTGAGTGGTCATAATAATATAGTATTTTAGATTAGCAAGCTTGGATTAGCCCATTCGATTGTTCCGAGGCACCAGGCACTCTTGATGATTTTGGGTGAGTTTCATTCCTTGGGAGATCGTTAATTTTTCACAATTCGATGCATTTACATGCGATGGAAATGTTTGTGATAACCGACAAAGAGCATTGGACAGCTGTTTCATCCTGTTTGGGACTCGTCAGCAGTGTGCACTTTATGTCCCTGTTAGGTCTCTAACCGCGAACTTTCCAGTTGGGACTTCAAATCGTTACCCCTGAGCTACACGGTCCAAGACAGGATGAAACAGCTGTCTAGTGCTCTTTGTTAGCTATCATAAATATTTCCATCGCATTATATAGTATTAACCAGAAACAATATAATTCTGAGAGGGATGAAATGCAGCTCAGTTAATCGAAGGGCGCTCCCTGAACAAACAAGGTAAGCAAGCAAGATATGTCATGGGCATGGGGGTGTCTGTGACCGAGGCGTGTTTTACGACTATTTCCCCTATGCTTAAACAGGGGTTTGAAAATTTTGCGCTGCATGGTGGTAATCCAGATATCACTGGGAGGCTTGAAAAGTGCATGAGCCTGACAAATCTGATGAGATAAACGAGAGACAGCTTGAAATAACCCTGAAACAACTTGAAATCATACCCAGCTATCTTGAAGTGATATTCGGGCAAATTGAATTGTTCCATTTATGTTTCTATATCTCGTAAGCGTTTAGCGTCTCACACAACGAACTATTAACTAATCGATATATATATATATATATATATATTTATATATATTTACCCCCTTTACGTTCCACTCCGGTGATACCAATGCATCGCTCTTTAAACACTTGACACTCATCCGAAGAAATTTGATCGCTCATCGCACTTTCGGACTACGGTTAGCTAACACATAGTTTAGTGTACGATAGATTACATTTTAAGAATAATAAGCTTACAACGCGTTTTCATTGAAGACTTCGAGATATATATCATTGTAGCCTTCCGATTGCAACAGACGACCGGCCACGAACAAAAGGGGTCAATTTTCTTCTATCGTCTAGTTCACCTGACAATTGGAGATATGGAGATTTCGACATTTCGGATCTCCATAACACTGCGAAATAACATTATTACTTAATATTCAGTTAGAGTTGAATCGATGTTTGTATCGAATACTTCTTTCTTCCCGCATGTGTGCAGGGAGATCAATTGATACGTGTGTGTTTGTGTGTGTGTGTGTGTGTGTGCGTGTGTAGTTCTCTTATGTGAGAATATAAGTTACCTGAGCATCGTAACCCAGGCAGTTAGACAGACTTGCGCGGCAATGTTTCGGTGGACTGGGGTTTGCATTTGTTGACCAACGTTGTGTGTGTGTGTGTGCTCGACTAAGCTCCATGATCCGAACTCTTGGTGAGAACAGCGTCCACTTGGTAAGTTCCCCGCGTAGCAAACTTTAACACTGACTTACCGTTTCACAAATTCTTCTCTTGTTCGAAATGGAATAGTTCACTCATTCACAATATCGGTTGAATTGAGTCGCGTTTTTCCATTGTCACGCCTACCTTGCTTACTCGGTGTGTGCGTGAAGCAATGATAACGCTTCGAGCACATTCTGATCGTTCAAAACGAGGCACGTCAAAACAGCATTCACGGATCAAAAGATAGCTCGGATCTATATCTGATTTCATCCGCAGACAATTGATCCTGGAATTCCCGTGACATCAAATGTGTGTGTGCGTGTGTATGTGTATGTGCGCCTGACGAACGAACGCAAGCACATACACACACACACACACACACGTGGCTGGAGTTTGAACAAAAAACCAAACGCAGCAGTACCCTTTTTCCGCCACACGGTAGCAGATGTTTCAGAATTGTCGTAATGGTGCCAAAAAACAACAACGATAACAATTGGCAACACATGCTAGACGTGAACACCGAGAATATCGAGTTCGCGCGCGCGCTCTCGCCCACACGCACATACGCACTTGCGCCAATACATCGAGGACACACGTAGACGACCAAGCCTACACACNCACACACACACACACACACACACACACACACACACACACACACACACACACACACACACACACAGATAAATGATGCACAATGAGCAACTTTTGGTCAGAGCACAGTGTTTGATTGAGTGTACTGAGTGAAACAATCGTCATCCGGGTGTGTATGTGTGATCATGAAACCGGAACCCGATACAGATTCCCTGTTCGTAATCGGAGCGGGATGTGGTGGCACCGGGACGGCCACACTAAAAGCGGCTTTGGAAATCCTGTTCAACAAACCGTGCTACGATCTGACCACCCTGGTCCGGAAACATCCGGACCACGTCCGGAAATGGATCGAGTTGGATGAGCGTTTGACCGACGACCGGGCGGAAGAAGGGGACTCGATTGATCCGCAAACGGTTCGGGACATTTTTCGCGGATATTCATGCGCCATGGATTTTCCTGCGATTAGTTATTACTGGCAATTGTTACACATTTATCCAAATGCTAAAGTGAGTTATGATCGTCTAGCCAAAAAGTGTACTGCCTTTGATACAGATGGGGCTTTATTTAGACGGCTAGCTTGTTTGTAAAATGCCATTCATTCTCGTCAAAGTGTGTTGAAGTGGAAGTCAAAAAAATTGCTAACCACTTCTATAGTTGTGCATTTCTGTCAAAAAACTCTGACAGCTCCCTCCCCCGTTTTATATGTAAGTCGCTTTCACTCTCCGACGTTCAGTGCCTTATTGTGTGAAGTTCGTGGGTGGAACATTTTTGGGATATTGTTAGTGGATAGAATATCGTGTGAGCATATATATACATATATATATATATATATGTATATATATATATATATTTCAGATCGACAGAATACATACAGGTTTACTTATGAATAAATAATATTTGCTCTCTCTATCTCTCCGTGTTTCGGAGTCTTTGATAAATAAAGTCATGGGGGTATATGGTTTGAAGTTTTCATCATTTACCTTTAGTCTACTGAGTTGTGCCTTTTTTATTACACACCAGTGTGTGATGAAAAGCAGTCGGGGTGGACCCCATGGTCACGAAGACCTGCTGTTCAGTGATGCTAACCGGCAACTCAGCCCCCGGGGATTGGAGTGGCTAACCACACGAGGTCCAATTAGCTCAGACGTGGTATAGAACCGGGCGACAGCAAAGCTGTCTACCACTAAAGTTGGGTGGCAGTGGTAGTGCTCGAACTTGGGACCACACGGTCCAAAGTACGCCGGTGACAGTGACTAAACCACTGCGCCACCACCGCCCAAAATAAGTAGTATAATCATCAGTACTGTGCAAATTGAAATTTGGGACACATCTGAGAAACGTTATCAAACAAATCTTGACTGTCTGACCTGATAACTGAGGATTGGGTATCTACCGCACCGTAGAATTTGCTCTTGCTAAAAGTGTACTATTGGTTTGTTCTAAATAATACAGTCTACAGATCAATTAATGGTCGTTTCTTAAGATTCAAACGTTTTTGTGGTCTCATGGTTGGTAGAAAGACTTTGGGTAGAGGAAACCGGCAACTTGAACCTCAAACTTGAAGCAGACAGTTACTGAAGACCCCCATGGGGCGTGGTACTGCCCAGAGTAAATGTGAAGTCAGCTATGCGGGTAGCAGGGTTCGCACTTTCCAGCCTCAATGTCCGGAGCATGCACGCATAGTTAACGATATCTGGAGCTAGTCTCTCTATTCTATGCCACATACTACACTGTCCTAAAAAAAGGTGTTAAGACGTTTCCCGACGGGTATCTGTCTCAGTATAAGTTCGTCTGATACCGCATCCACCGGCACAGGGAGTCCGCCCGCGTTGTCTGAGGTGAGATGTGTGTAAGTATGTGTGGAATGATCACAGTTCTTCCCGAAGTATACCGGTATTGATCAAACTAGTATAACACCCTGGCTTACGTCAGTTCTGTTCTTTGCATTTTGACTCTTATCCACGGGTTTGAATATGGAATTAACCTACGTTGGACGTGACATAAACTGTTAATTTTATTAGTTGGATACCAACCAGAAGTGTTATAGACCCACAAGGTGGTACCGTGACGAGGAAAGTTTTTCATTACGAATAGCTGTAGGAGTTAAGGGGTACATAATTACAACAAAATGTCTTTTATGGAACAAGTCTTTAGAATTCCTACAGGCACACAGGTTAGGTCATTAAACAGTCCAACAGTAGATGCATAATTTCTGTAGTCCCCATTTTGAACACATTCGTTTGCTCTAAGAGATCTCGATTATTTTTTTTTATCGTTGAAGGAAGCCGCTAATCACATTCTTTTACGCAACCCAAACATACTACACACAACAGAAGTACTACCATTTCTCAATTCCGACGACAGTTGTTGGCATGTGAGTTCTAAGGTAACGACATCTCTATCGAAAAAAGATCACAGGAATTTATGAATACAAAAGACTCATGGGCATGATTAAACGCATTGCAATTTAATTATGTTCATACCCTGTGTGTGTCCTCCTTTATTATTGAGCAATTGGGACAGTCATTTTTGCATAGAGTCCTTCATCAAGTGGGCGATCAAATCGCATTTGTCAGTTGCCTCTAATGCACTGTACACACTGGCAACTGACAATCACTGTCTAGGTGGCTAACTTATCTCAGTTTCCAAAACAATGAAACGGTCTGATCACATTCAGATCCGGTCTGTTTGTAGGCAACCAAATGAAATCAACTTTTGAAACATGCCAATTAATAATATGTGGCACATATATGGAATGATATCCCGGAAAATTTATCCGACGAATATTAAGCTTCTTTCGGAAAAATATTACTTTTTGCGAATAGATCTGCGAGTGTCGTAGTTACCAAAAACCTGCCTCATCAGTGATCGTCATCATCATCATCATCGTACAGCGAGATGCAGTGAAGCAAACTTGACTGATCGCTGCCAAATTCATAATATACACAAATCAAGTGATGAAGCACAAGATGGAGAGGGATTGGGCCTAATTAAAGAGAAGCAACGAAGAAGAACCTCTATGTTCAACAAACAGAGTACACAATCTAAGTGTTCATACATACCTTTATTCAAGAATTCTGACTTGTTAAGAAGTGATAACAAGAGCGCCACTGCTGTCGTTTAGTCGCCAGATTCTTTAACGTCTCCAGCCAGCCGGTTGCAGAGTCTTTCGGACCCCAATCTGAAAGACGGGAAACACCGATTCTACCTAATCACTCTGTGCATTTCTTCATGCCTCGCTTCCAAGTCATCTTTTGACCACCACGCGGTTTCTTCCAACCTGAGTCCGTGACTGCGAATAAGGCGCGGTGCGGCAGATGATGGCTGAACATGCGCAATATATGTCCTAACCAGCGAAGCTGACTAATCTGAATTCGATGGGACAACGAATTCTCCATCGAATCATTATCAACTATAGGACGCCTCAACTCAGAGTTGCTTACAAGCTCGCCCCATCTAACCCGAGCCAAACTACGTAAACATTTGCAGTCGAATACTTCAAAACGACGAATATATTCCACGCTCAAATTTAGGGTCTCGCAACTATAGAGCAGAACTGACCGCACACTGGCGCAGTATACGCAACCTTTGAGTTTCAACGAAACATCGCGTCTGCACCAAAGGTGTTTCAATCCTGCGTAAGCTACTCGAGCCTTGGAAATGCAGGTGGTTACTTCATTGGATATGCTGCCATCATTTGTCACACAGCTACCTAATTAGGTGATACATTCTACTATAGTTAATTCTTGTCCATCAAGCATCAGCACTGGGGTAGACGACACCCTGTCTAGTAGCATCACTTTGCATTACTTTTCCTCATCGATGCAACAAACCTAGCCATATCCAGAGTGGCACGTAGGAGAGGACATCAACAGAACACTCAGCATCTACTTCCAACTCATGAAGCAAGATAGATATTCACTTTTTTGATCGGTGAAATGTATTTGTTTGGCAACTGGGTCAGCAGATTACCTTTCTCCGCCTGTTTCCTTACTCATTAACCAGGAGTGAGATGAAATCAACTAAAATGGACGCGTGATACGATTTAAATGTGATGGTAAATTCAATACATGTTCAGCTGAGAAATCAAATTTTTGCATCTCACGAGCACGTTGTCTATCGCCTTATTTGTATATTAAAACCTCTTGGATATGTTATTTGGTTTGGGCATTACAAAACGCTGGTCCAGCGTGCCGCGCACCTCAAGGTCAATTTATCAAGGTCATTTTTTGCAGTTCTTCCAATATATTTCTAGTCCCTTTAGTATGAGGAATTTGACGTAAGCATTTAAGGGCCGTATCACACGATTTCGGTCAATACTAGCATATTGTCAACTAAAAAACAGTGTTTGACTGAGATGAAGTTTTACAAGTCTGAACAAATGATATGAACAAATTTTCACTTGTATAAATTGAATGTATTCTACTGAGTTAAGCCGGAAATAAATCAGTTGATGAGTATTTCCACAACAATGAGTACAACTTTCAGTCACACAATGAAAAACATTGAGAGAACACAAAGGTTTCACGTAACACACTAACTGGCACCCCTATCCCTCATATAATTACTTTTTTTATGTGAATCCCATGGAGGAAGCGGTCGCATCACAGTATTGAATCGCTTGTACAGATGTTGGCATGACTTTCCGATATCTATATTTTTCTTTACTTCCCACATATCTGAGTTCAGAGTGTGCACCAAAGACAATAGTATTTACAAAAAAAAGGTTTGGTGAATTGCTCTCGAGCACGATACTGCTCGGTTGCTCAGGTGAAAGTAGGTGAATTTTCCTGGGGAATTCGGAACCAGGGCTTTGATAAACCTAACCCACAAGGCCGNNCGGCCTTGGACGGGGTTAAACGTCCAACATGCCCAATACACCTCGATGCCCAAACGACTAATGTCATAACCAGGATAGTGTGTGTGTGTGTGTCTGTCTGTTTGTGTGTGTGTAAGGCTCGAACACCTCTTCTCAGTTGGTTTCAAATTATGGTTTTCGGTCACCTGCACTAAATGAACTGCCAGTGGTTCACCTAACCCTTTCGTTGCAGCGGTTGTTAAGTTTGCATTCTCTAACTTTGATAGGAAACCAGAGCTTCGTGACGAGAAGGTGATAAGAATGTTTTCCTTTTCAAATCATCTATGTCTGAATCAAAACAATCAGATCCCTAGCCATTTGTGAACGGTGAGTGAGCCGAAAAGGAAAGTGTGAAAAATGAGAATCCATTATCCGAATGGGCCGGTATTAAACATTGTATGAAAAACACAGTGTCGTTTGCAGTAATTTATTCAAGGAGTCATTAATCACAACTTCGATCAAAATTTCTAGCAAGAAAATGTGCCAATACAGAATGAGAAAAAAATTCACATTCCTGTCTCATGACTCGGATGCTGCTCACACTGTGGTCCTTGAACATATGCATTGGTTTGGTCCGTTAGGGTTGGATAGATATATCTTAGTGTCGTGGCTGGTCATGGTCATGGAAGGTTGAGTGTTCTAACAAGCTGTTTGTGCAGGTACAGGAGTTGATTATGTAGACGAAACCCATGGCTTCCGCTGAGTCCTAATATCATGAGATCGACAAAC